GGATTTCTTTCCATAAAGCTCTGACAAATCACGCGAGCAGTGATTGTCTCTGTGCTGAGAATAACAGCCCCACATGTCACATTGACAGGAAGTGAAAAGAAAAGGCTCAACATTTTTCCACAACTTCTCTCATTTTACTGCCGGGTGTGCCAGTCCACACAACCACAGGACGCATTACCGTTTACAGAACAGTCAAAATCACTCCGGTTGATTTCTGTCTTGTTAGAGGAAAAAAGTAAAACTCAAGAGGAGCCCCAGAAAATTCAGCAATAATAAAAATACATCCCCAATTCTAGAAAACCCTGGGAAGTTGTGTAAAATATAAATAAAGATAGAACACAACTATTTGCAAATCCCATATTTTACTCACAACAGAACATAGTAATCATATCAAATGTTTAAACTAAGAAGTTGGACCGTTTCGGGGGGAAATTGTTGTATTGTTGCAAAAGCTGCTCATAAACCTGTGCATACTCTGAACTGATGGTGCATTTCCATGAGCAGGAACCTTATGCTAAAGGCACTAATGCACCCCCAAACCATCAGAGAGGCTTTTGAACAGTGCGCTGGTAACAGTCTGTCCTCTTTAGTACGCATGAAGGGACATCTGTTGTTTCCAAACATTTTCATATTTTGTTTCCCCTGACAGCAGAACAGTTCTCCTCTTTGCTTCCGTTAATTTTAATTGAGCTTTGGACAAGAGAAAACAAAGTTGGTTTGCATGTGGCTTCTTCTTTGCATGAAAGAGCTTTAACCCACAGAAATGTGTAGACTGCACGGCTAACTGTGGTCAGACAGTGATTTGTGGACGTGTTCTTGAGTCCATGTCCAGAACTGAATCAGACCTGTTTTTAATGCAGTGCTGCCTGAGGACCTGAAAATCACGGGCATCCAATCCTGACTGTCGGCCTTGTCCTTCTTTACCTCTCTGAGCTACTGGAACCACACGTTCCCTCTCGGGCCCTGAGATCATCTGATCAGCTGCTTTTGGCTGTTCCAAAAACAAGACTGAAGCTCAGAGGAGATCGGGCTTTTTCAGACATGGGCCCCAAACTCTGGAACAACCTCAACATCAGGCAGGCCACCTGCTTTCCTCAGTTCAAATCTCGGCTAAAAACACATCTGTTCTCGCAGGCATTTCACACAGTGTAAATTTTTTTTATTTTTTTTATTTAGCCTTTATTTATACAGGTAGTCTCATTGAGCCACGAGAACTCATTTTCAAGAGAGACCTGTTTAGGGAGCACATGGTGGGGGTTAAGGGCCTTGCTCATGGGCCCAGGGTGGGGCGAATGAGGGTGGGGGGCAAGTGTGAGTGTTTCACCTACCCCACCCACAATTTTGATGTTGTCGGGGCCGGGGTGTGAACCGGCGATCTTCGGATCACAAGCCCACCTCTCTAACCTCTGCGCCACCACTCCCCAAATTGATTTAGTGTTTTTTGTTCTGTGATCCTATCTTTTTATTAATTCTTGAGTTATTATTATTAGTGTTTTTTTCTCATTAACTTTACTCCCATTGATGCTGTTGTTTAGCACTTTGATACCAGGTTCTGTTTTAAATGTGCTCTATAAATAAAGTTGACTTGACTTCTTGAAATATTTTGATGATATTAAAACTGTAAATGATGGGAATTAAAAGTCTGCCATTTTTCACTGAAGAACATTACAATAGTTGCTCGCTAGTTTGTGGTTCATCTTTCGCAGACTCGCTCTTTCACGTTTTTTAATGTAAGATTGTACACGACACACGATTGTCAACTTTAATATTACTCACGTGATTGAGACGGTAAAAGTTAAAGAAAAAAACTTGGGACAGGTGCTGCCATTTTGTAGTTTTCTTTCAATAAACCTAAACTGTAACGTCAGTCAAAAGAACTACACTACCCAGAAGCCAACAGTGCTTCCAGTCGCTGCTGTCTGCCGAAATGGAGGGAAAGTATAGCAACGCAAAGTCAGAAGTAACAATCGATCTATGAAGCTCACAGGACTGGCAGGAAGGTCACAAATAATCCTGAAGCACAGTTATCCACGTCACATGAACCTGGACGGGGCGGTGAGCTTCGTCACTGCAGGGTAGGTCTGCAGAACCAGAACCGAGCCCGACCAGAACCGAGCTGCTGGTATGCAGAGCTGGTGAGTACCCAGATTTTGCAGTGCTGTACAGTACAAATACATGTTGTTTAAATGACGTAGGTTTAAGAGTTTAGAACATTGCAAGAGTGTGGGAAGGGTAAAGCCTTAATAAATATATAAATACTAAAATAAATACAGCGTTCCTACTTCATGGTTCTTCACCTATCGTGGTTGTGTGTGGAACGCAACCCCACAATACTCAAGGGACTACTGTATTCTGAAATTGTGCCACTACTTCCTTCACAGACTGGTGAACTCTGTCCATCTTTACTTCTGATTCAGTCCCTAAAACGCTCTTTTTAAACCCAGTCCTCTCCTGATCTGCTGCCAATTAATCTAATCAAGTGCAAACTGCTCCTCCAGCTGTTCCTTATTCATACTACTTTACTTTTACAGCCTTTTGTAATCTCTTTACAATTACATGCTGCTTGTGCACAGCATGCATGTGGGGGCCGAGGCAGGGCAGCCGACTCGGGACCCGAAAGTCCCAGCTCCATCCCCAGCCATTCCCACATGTCATGGTGTCTCTGAGCAGGACACCCAATCCCTAACTGCTCCCCGGGCACCTACATAGCTGCCCACTGCTCCACCTGGGTGTATCCCAGGTGTGATGGGTTAAATGCAGGGAACCAATTTCACCATTGTATGGGAACAACGATGACAACACATAGCACTTTATTTATTTATGTCTTTCCCCAAAGATTTCCACAGACTCTGTTGGTATGCACAGTGTCAGAAACAATATCCTTGATCTTTTGCCGTGCACTTTGTAATAAGCAAGTCTGAAGTTACCAACATGCACAAACTTGCTGAGCTAAATTCATTTTTAGGCAATACTAAAATATCCAGGCAGGACAAAAAAATAATAAAAACCTCTCTTTTAAGTGTTGTTTTAAAGTCTGTCTTGGATTAAGGTAACACTCCGAGCTGCCATTCCTCACTGTAATTTCATGAGTCACTTAAGCTGGCTCACTGGCTCACTTCAGCCCTCCCAGAACCACATGGATCAAGGCTCAGTCGGCCTGCACCGTTTCCTCTGCCGCTGGTGCTCCGGCAATTACAGTGGGCTGCAGAAGTATTCACACCCCTTCGTAATTTGTTTCACTGGATTACAACCTGGAATTTAAATGGATTTTCAGGTTGATCATAAATAAAGTCATGGGGGGGGGCTGTAGTCTTAAATATCTCATGAACCAGAGGATAGATTTTAAATAAACTCAAAAATTAATAATTGGATGTAGAGCTGTAGTAATGAGCTGTACCTACAGCTGATGAACTTTGGAAGTCAACCCAGTTCAAGATGGCCGCTACAGCCATCTGACCTTATGAAACATAAAAATGTCTATAACCCAGTCAACTCTGCAAATATTCATTTATTCAACCTTTATTTATCCAGGTTAGTCTCACTGAGTCATATTTACAAGAGAGACCTCTTTTAGACAGACAACATATAAAGTACAGACTTTTACAGACTCTTCTTCTTTCGGCTGCTCCCTGCATTAGGGGTCGCCACAGCGAACTAAGTACAGACAATAAACTACAATAAAATACAATAAACTACAATAAACTACAATAAAATGCAATTAAAGTAAAATCAGTGTTATAAAACAATAAATCAAGAATGTTGACCTAAGATTTATGTGGTAGTAGCTGAGCATCATCTCCAACACAAACTTCAAGCTTTGCACAACATGACTGCGTAAAAGTTTGGTATTAACCTCTAGAATCAATTATGTCTGTTAGCAAAATAGCTAATAAACAATTAGACCCATTTAAGTGAAATTTTCTGAACATAATCACTGGATGAACCTGAACTGATTTAGTTTTAGAGTCTTTCTGTGTCAAGATGGCTGCCACAGCTAATCCACCGTAAGTCAGTTAAGTTTAGAGATACTGAGCTGAAGTTTGGTGTGGTAGTAGCTGAGAGTCATCCTCCACACATACTCCAAGCAATCCGTATTGCGCAACACCTCTCTTTAAATCTTCAGTACTAACCTTTAGAGTCTGTTAGCTAAATAGCTCAAGAACCACCTGAGTCAAGGTCAAGTCAGGTCAACCTGAGTCGTGGCTGCCACAGCTTGTCACCGTAGCAAACACAAAAATGAGTAAAAGACAGTTTTACAGATATTGACTGTGCATATTCCAAGCATTATACACTGTGCAGCATTTTTCTTTAAAGCTTTGGTGTTCACTTTTGGAGTCAACTATGCCTGTTAGCAAAATATTTCATGAACCACTTGCTGGCTAAATGGCTATACCTCAGTCAGTTTGATGGACAATTAGCTAAAACTTGGTATGGTAGTAGCTGAGAGTCATCCTCAACATAGACTCTGAGCACTGACACTTTAACTTAAAACAGCTCCACCCTCAATTTAACTAAATAATCTGGAGTTAATCTTTAGTGCACATGTTTCTAATCAAACAGAAAAACCCGTTTAAATTCCACTAAATTCAATTAAAATCAAGGGGATTAACAGTTGTGTGGATTTAAATGAGGCCTAATTACTCCAGGTGTGCAACCAGGCTGTGTCTCCAGCACCTTTTTTTGTCTAGTTTCAACATCTTCTGCGTGAGTTGCGCAGTCTCACCGCAGAACACCAATCTGACGCAAACAACTCGCCTGCGCGCGCTTCTGGTTTAAACAGACTAAAGTTGAGTCTCTCCCTGTTCTCTGGACACGTTTCTAAAACCGCGTGGGCATTAAATCCTGCGTGGGAAATCATTCCTGCTTGAAAGTGGAAAGTACAAAAGTTCCCCTCCTCGTTGAGAAGTTCAGCTGCTTCTTCAGCAGTTAGTCACCACCCCGCCGCAACGTCAACAGAAACAACACGATCCACTGCACCCACGATCACACAACGAGCTCACCTGTCAACAGGGTGGAGGGCAGCAGGAAGCAGTAAACCAGCCACAGAAGCACCTGGACATCCATGATCTGCTCCGTGTCCGACAACCAGCGATGACTGGATCTCACGCGCTCCGATCAGATGGGATGATTAAACATGGCAGCGCGTCGGTTGCTTTCATGGTCCTCCCGAAAGTTTCCGTTTCTGTCGACAGTTCTTGATCCTCCCGGCTCGGAGCTGCTCGGACGGAGCGAGGAAGAAAAGTTTTGGGTTCGTGCGTCCTCGGGCCCGGGGAGAGCGTGCACAGCGAGCCGAGCTGAAGGTGGAAAATGTGATTCACATGAGCGTGAGGGGCGTTCATATAGAGGAGCTATTCTGCTGCTGGTCACCTCCCTGTTTCATGCATGCCTCTGCTGGAACTGCCAGTCACAGCTGGAGAACCCGGCGAACTTCACAACTTTCTGCTGCAGCGCCTCTGCGGCTGAAACACTGCGTTAGCTGCTGCTGGTGGTGCTGGGAGGACTTCCAGTGGAGTTCAGCTCGTGCCCCGTTCACTGGTCGGTGATAAAACATCTGTCTCGAAGACAGCGCGTCTGCCACACCTGACGTCAAACATATCCAGATGTGTGGTTCAACAGCGCCCCCACACGTACACACCGAGCCATGCAGGCGGCAGCGATGTGTCAGGGAGTCCGCCATCTTGGACAGGGCGACGCCCCCACGACGCTAATGCTAACCCTTTCCTGAGTGACGACATTCGTCAGGTTTTTAATATAAAACCCAGTAATAATGGTGTGGACACTGATTCTATATCAACGCTATTGTAATACTTTATTTTTCCCATACAGTTTACAGTCTAGTTCTACATAATTTGTGTTGTTTTATGTCATGTTGTCATATGCAGCTTAACACAAGGTGAGCAGAAATGTTCAGGATGAGAAGAACCGATTCGACTTGCCAAAAACAAAAAAACAAACGAAATACTAAAGCATGCAATAAGGGGTACAAAATAAAGAACCAACAAGTGAAAAAGAAACAATATTTACAAGGTCCAGAAGAAATATAGTAAGCAACAATGTGGTAGAAAATAACGGTGCAAGTATGAATTAACATGAATAAGTATTTCACAGATAGTAATCTAAGCTTAAATGCACATGATATATATTGCACATAACTATAGTGTGAGTGCACAGGTAGTAACTGAGATTAATTGAATATGATGGTAAGGTATTGACATACATGACATATACATGATACAGCCACATAGTGCAACACTAATAAACACATTAGTTGTCACAGATGTGGCTTTGTGCAATTTATTGTCAATTGTTCAGTATTATTATCAAGAGTTTAGTAATCTGACAGCTTGTGGGTCTTTGAGTCTTTTCATGCATGATGGCAGATTCCTGCATCGTCTGCCTGAGGGTAATGGAAGAGTCCTTGTGCAGGGTGGGTGTGGTCTTTAATGATGCTGTGTGCTTTACACAGACATCGGCTGTGGTAGATGTCCTGGATGGTGTGGAGACTGCTACCAATGATGTCTGCTGCTTGCACCACCCTCTGTAGAACTTTCCGGCTCTGACTGGTGCAGTTCCTGTACCACCCTGTGATGATGCAAGCTCTCAATGATGCACCTTTCAAAGTTAGTGAAGATGCTGGCGTTCGCATCACGTGTTAGCCCTTCACACAGCAAAATGCTCAATTCAATTCATTTTATTTATATGGCGTCAAGCCACAGCAGCAGTCATCTCAGGGCACTGAACAGAAACATTCACATCAAAAGTCAGTTAATGTTATTTATCTGAGGAGACAGTAGATTGCTTTGAGTCTGTGTTCAGCCCATTTGGGGTGCCATGACTGTTGTGCTTTGTCATTTTTATAATATTCAAACTATTTATTTACAAATATTGTCTCCATAGACATGCTTGATACCTCTTAAATTTTTCCAAAAATACTGTTCTTTCAGTAACCTGCATTAGCATACTTAGTCTATTTTGACTTCTAACAAATGTTAAGTCAGATCCTCTGGACAGATAAAAAAAATAAAATAAAAATATTACATCTGCAAATCCATTCCAAAGATCCATCCTCCCCCAGAAAATTTGGAATAACAGAGATGCCATTTCCTCTGTTTGGGTGTATTTTAACAGGTTGTTAAACATCTATGATTACCTACATTTGTAAACACTTGATTAAATTGATTAAAAACAGGTCTCTCTTTTAAATGAGTCCTTGAGGCTCAGTGAGACTAACAACCTGTATAAATAAAGCTTGAATTGAAATTACTATTTTAAAGAGCAACAACAACAGAGGCAGGGCAGCCGACTCTGGACCTAAAGGTCCCATCGATTTATTATTATTTATAACAAGCCTGTGTGTGAATAGAGCAGCTCCTGTTCTGTCAAGCGTCCTAACACAAGGAAGTCATCGGCAGCAAATTGGGACCCAATCACGCGGCTTGCCTTTATGATAGCTTGGTTCGTGCCTCGAGTACCCAGACTCAAATGCTTTGGGCAGAACGGATCAGATCTCGGGGATTTTACTCAGGCACGTTCCATCAGAGTGGCCATGTAATTTGGACATTTCGGAACCATTTGGACCAACACAGACTCAAGGTAGATGTCCCTAAGTTCGGCCTGTCCCCAAAACAACTGTGTGTTTATCTGAATTTGGCTCCCTCAGCTGGCCTTGAAGGCCATCTTATCTGAATTTGCCTGGAGAAAATGTGATCTGATGCTCTGCCCCGCTCCCTCCCCCTACCATCGAGGACTTTCCAACTGATCAAACAGAGGATACCAGCTGAATAAACATTATGTCATCATTTCAGGACTCTTGGATTCCCATAGGCGTTGTCCCTGGCCATTCCCCGACATCATCCGAGAATGTTTACGGATCTCATCGGAGGGAACTGGTTGATCATTCCATCCTTATCAGAACTCTTAAAGTGTCCTAGAGTGCATCCTTGAACATTGCTCACAGCTCTTGTCGTGCAATGATAATAAAGCTTATTCTAATTCTGAAAATCTAAGATGGCTGTATCTGCAAGTATCTCAATCGCTCTGCATGGCATTGGACAAGCAGACAAAAACAAAACAAAGACGAAAAATAAATAAAAAATATCTGCATCTATTCTTATACACAGTGTAACTCCTATCCAAATGGCCAAAGTTCTTATTTATTATTAAATATGTAATGAATATTTAAGTTATTAAATATCATTTGAGGGTGGCATAGTGGATCAGTTGGTAGAGCTGTTGCCTCTCAGCGAGAAGGTCACCAGATGAAATCCTAGCCAGGGGGACTTTCTGGGTGGAGTTTGCATGTTCTCTCCATGCTGCGTGGGTTTTCTCCAGGTACTCCAGTTTCCTCCCACAGACCAAAAACATGCATGTTAGGCTGATTGGTAACCCTAAATTGTCCATAGGTGTGAGTGAGAGAGTGAATGGTTGTAAGTGTCCCTGTGATGGGCCTGTGACCTTCCCAGGGTGTAACCCGCCTCTCGTACAGTAACTGCTGGGAACCAGTGACATTTACATTCATTCAACCACATTAATATTTGTTTAAACAGTGAAATGTCATACATCAAACCATTGTTTTCTGTAGTGGCTATTTGCATGAATGGATGCAATGATTTAACCTGAAACACAATCACATCAAAACAGAAAAATAAGACAAAAAAGGCACCTTGTTCTTAACACTCCACACTCCCGTTTCTGGTATTGATCATCACATGTGACTGATCAGGCTGAAATGTAAGTAATCAAGTTCTCTAACTACGTTTTTTCTTTCTTTCAATTTAGTGTGATTGGTTTATCCAACAATGGTAACTTTTTCTGTTGTATTTATCCAGATTTGTTGAAAATGTGCTGGTGGCTATATTACCACATGGATTTATGAATTTCATGGATTTACAGGCAGCTGTGGCTGAGTGGTTAGAGCAGTCAACCTCCAATGAAAATGTTGGGGGTTCAATTCCACCAGCAGTCACAAGCTGAAGTGTCCCTGGGCAAGACACTGAACCCCTCATTGCCTCCAATGTGTGTCCCATCAGTGTATGAATGTGATCTAAAGTTCTGATTATTCTCTACAGATTCAGATTAGCTTTGTAGAGATCTAGTATAGAGCTGTATGAATGGGTTAATGAGGACACAGATTGTGTTGTAAAGAGCTTTGAGTATCTTGATAAGATAGAAAGGTGCTATATAATTACAGCCATTTACGCTTACCAATAACATGAAAGATTTCATTCAAAATGTTGCATCACCACCACAAGACTTAATGTTGATAAAATAAATTACACTTTCTGTTAGGAACTATGACAAAAAAATCAAGAACATAATTAGAAACACAATGGCACTTAATTTTGTTATTTCAATTACAACAGTAGACTAAGTCCTCCTTTTAAATAATTATGATGCTCATCGTCTTCTCATTTTTGTATTCCATAGTATTGCAGCTACATAAATTTATCAAGCCTTAAAAATAACATTGCACAGGCGCTTGTGTTGTCCCATATATGTTCGAGTTATGTTTGATATGACCACATGAAGTTTTAGATCAATATCTGCAAAACTGACTGTTACAGCCATTTTTGTGTGTTCTGCGGTCAGATGGCTGTGGCAGTCATCTTGAATAGGGTTGGCTCCAAAAGTTGTGGAGGTACATCCACGGATTATTTTCTTAAAGTAGCATTCAAATCCGTCCAGTAGTTTGCAAAATATTTTGCTAACAGATATGGAGCGTCAACATATATAATGTAATATGTGGCGGCCATATTAAATCAGTTTGACTCTAAGAGTAAAACATTTGTAGATGTACGATATTTGATTGCTTAATATTACACACTCCTTGAGCCTTTCGGTGACGGGCAAGTACAGTCTGATGATGTGACTTTAACTCGTAGACCGGAAAAGGCGTGGCTTCTTCTGATTTCGCGCGAAAATTTATTTCTTCTTCCTGCTGTGACCATATCCGGAGCGCGAGCGGTCGTTGTTTCAGAGTTTATTTACGGATTTCGCTCGGCTCGTTGTTACTCTCTGCGGGTACCGACATGTCTCAGGCTCGAGTTACGGATTTCTTTGTGCAGAGGAAGAAAGTGACCTCTGAACCGGCCAAAGGAGCCAAACAGCGGCAGCGCAGCAGCTTCGTTTCTTCTTCTACGATCAGCTTTAAAACTCCCAGCGAAAACAAAGACGCTGTTTCCTGTTCGTCCCCGGTTCACAAGGAGTTTTTACGAGTTATCGACGAAGCTTCTGGTGTTAATAATAATAATAATGGAGGCGAGTCCAACCCCGGTAAAGACTCAATCTTCTCCAGTCCGCGGACACCGAAGAGGAGCTCTGCTGATGCGGAGATAACTGAGCATTCATTGTCCAAAAAGAGACGGCAAGCCGTAGAGGTCAGAAAGGCTTCGACTAACGGAGAGAAAACGACCAAGAAGTCTGCCAGGAAGAAACTTCTGCTCCAGGATGATTCACCTCAGGTAAAAAGACAAAACAGTCAGGACTATTTTATTTTTGGGAGCCTTTTTTGGGCACAAATTGTCTTGTTTGTTTATTTTTGTTATTATTTTTGCATGTTTGATCTCCAACAGGCCTGGTAATGCAACACACACAAAAAAAATTAATTCAGACTGTTCTAATTCAATTATCAACAGTCTCTGTTTGAGTGTTCAAATTGAAGGTGCACCATGTTAAAGAAATCATCTACCTGCAACACTCAAGTTAGTCATGGGGAGAAGAGTCCACTCTCTTTCAGTGATAAGGTTTTACATATCAGGATATAATAAAGTGATCTGATCTTTACCAGTGTCTACATTTATTCAAATCCAACTTAAAGTGTAAAACCCACAGCAAATTCCACCATATTATTATTATTTCTTCAAACGGAGAACACAACAGAGAAGCTGCATGATGAAGTCCACCCTCGCTGCTTTAAGAGGTTTAGTATCAATCAGGGGCTGCTAAGTAAATGCATCTGATTCTGACTGACTTCAGTATGATCACCTTTTTAAAAGCAGTAGGTTTAGTCAGTCTGCTGATCTATATCATACAGGTGTGTGTTAACCACTTGCCAAAGTGGAAAGACATCAACAATGACCTTAGAAGTAAATGTTGCTGCTGATCAATCTGGGAAGGGTTAAAGGTTGATTCCAAACAATTTAGGGTCCATTGTACAGAGTAAAGTATTATTCACAAGTGGAAAACATTTAAGACAGCTGCCGATCTCACCAGGAGTGGAGGGCCTAGCAAATTCACCCCAGCGTCAGACAGTGTTGCTGTTTTTCTTTCAGCTCTTCCTTCTGCAGAGGTTGCTATTGTAAGAGAATAAGGCCAGACTGTATGAGAGTAAAAAACAACCAAATGGTTTCGTCTCAGACTCTTCAGGTAGCAAGGCAAAGGTCAACGTTTATGACAGTATAATTACAAAAAGACTGAACAAGTCTGACTTGTTTGGACGTGTTTCTAGGAAACAACATCTTCACTCTAATAAGAGCAAAGCAGCAGGATTTATGTTTGTCAAGTTGCTACTAAATGAACCACAAGGATTTTGGAACAATGCACTTTGGATAGATGAGACCAAAGTAGTAATGTTTACCCATAATGCACAGCACCAGATCAAGTTAAGCATATCAGCCCAAACATCTCACGCCCACTGTGAAGTACTGTGGATCTGGACTTGTTTTCAGCCTTAGGACCTGGGCACCTTGCAGTTATTGATTCAACCATGACCTCCTCTGTAAACTAAAGGAGTCAAATGTGATGTTTGTTGACTGCTGAAGTTTGGATCAGTCTGGGTCCTGATGCAACCCAGCAACAAATTCACAACAAAACAGTTGGAAAGGGAAAGAAGGTGTTGTGATGGTTCGGTCAAGGTCCAGACCTCAGCCTGATTGAAATGTTGAGGCTTTCTTTAAGAGTGCTGTGTTGAAACAAAAACCTGCAAACTTCTAAGAACTGACTCAACAATGGAAAGAAGATTGGGTCAAAATTCCTCTACAACCATCTGAGAGAATGATAGTCATGTAAAGAAGAACCACTGAGAGTTTTTCTACTAAAGGTGGTTCTACAAGCAGCTGGATCACGGGGTGGGCTTCGTTTTTCACACATCTTTTCCATTTCAACTTCATTTTTGTTTAATAAATAATGGCACGGTGGAATCTGCTGTGTGCTTTTGTACACCCCAAGTTAGATTTGAATAATTTTAGAACGTGGTAATAAAGACCAGATTTTATATTGTGTCCTGAAATGTAAAACTACTATAACTGGAAGTACAGTGATGCTTGAACGTTTGTGAAGCCTTTATAATAATTTTCTATATTTCTGCATAAATATGAGCTAAAATATCATCAGATTTTCACTCAAGTCCTAAAAGTAGATAAAGATACAGATTCAGAGTTTCTTTATTGTCATTTGCACCTCATGTGGTGCATGTGGTGGAGCAAAATTATGTACACAGGGTCCCAGTTACATCCAACAATAAAATGTATAAGAAAAACAGTAATAACATCTAAGATATGAACTAAGAAAAACATCAACTAAATATACACTAAGCACTCATAACATAAAAACAATACGTCGAACAGCAGCATGAACATGAGTCTGTGTGAAGAGATGAACACGCATGAACACAGCAACATGAAACAGATCAGCAGCAACATGAAACAGATCAGCAGCAACATGATATGGTTTTTCACAGTGATTATTCTAGTTAGAGATTCATGAGTCTAACAGCTTCAGGGTAGAAGCTGTTCCTCAGTCTTGTTGTTCTACACTTAATGCTCCTTAACCTCCTTCCTGAGGGGAGTGGGGCAAAAAGTGTGTGTGCTGGGTGAGTGGGGTCCTTCATGATGCAGGTGGCCCTCTTCCTGCTTCTGGAGGTGTAGATGTTTGTGATGGTGGGAAGACTGACTCCAACATCTTCTGTGCAGCCTTCACCACTCTCTGCAAAGCTTTTCTTTCTGCAGCTGTGCAACCTCCATGCCACATGTTGATGCTGGAGCACAGGATGCTCTCCACTGCACACCTGCAGAAGGAGATGAGGACTGAGCTTCCCAGAACAGCTCGTCTGAGGAAGTAGAGTCTCTGATGAGCTTTCTTGATCAGGCTGGTGGTGTTGTTGCTCCAGCTGAGGTTGTCATTCATGTGTACACCCAAGTACTTGTAGCTGGAGACCACTTCCACCACAGATCCTCTTATATTTAGGGGGTGTAGGTGTGTTTGTTCCTTCTGAAGTCCACAATCATCTTCTTCGTCTTCTTCACATTGATGTGAAGGTTATTCTCTTTACACCAGCTCTCCAGGTGTTCCACCTCCTGCCTGTAGCTGGACTCGTCATTGTTTGTGATGCATCCCACCACAGCTGTATCATCTGCAAACTTTACAATATTACAGCTGTAGATGAACAGATGCTGAGATATATTCATCAATTAAAACAGATTCTTCATTTTTCTGGACTGAATATAAACGTGCATTGAATTTAATGAAATGTGGACGTAAGACGTTAATTATCTTTGACTCACCACGACAGTGGGTCATTTATTAACAGAATCAAGTTTAACACATCAAACATTTACATTAATTTGGCAAAATATGAAAATAACAACATAATTAATCAGCGAGCTGTACAATTATGATCAATTATCCACACGGCGGTGGATGAGCACTTTACACAGACATTTCTAAAAATATCTGTCAATGATTTCTACTTGATAGAAGAATTTTTAAAGATGGAAAGATGAAGTTTAGTGGGAGTGAAAGATGGATGAGGGAGAATGTGGTGTGTATGAGTGAAAAGTGTTGACAGGACGACACCCTCCATCCGACCCAGCTTTTCCTCGGTACGCTCAGTAGGGGACTAGACTCATTTACCTCTCTGACGATGAATCAGAAGAAGAGGAGCTCCAGTTAACGCTACCTTTCAGCGTCTCCATAGGATGGCTGTGACTCGTCCGAAGTAGTGACGATATCCCGTCTGACACAAGTTCACCTCAGCCAGTGGACCTCACATGAGTGGGGTTCGTCCGAGTTCCACTCAGAGGTGAAGATGTTATAGGTCAAGTTCACTACACAGCCTGGCCCTGGATGGGTAGCTTTACAATCATACATGAGCAGAGTGAACAGGAGAGGGCTCAACACACATCCCTGAGGGGAGCCAGTGTTGAGGGTTATGGTGAAGGAGGAGTAGTTGTGGATCCTCACACACTGCAGTCTGTTTGTTAAGAAGTCTAGGACCCAGAGAGAACCCAGTTAAACAAATGACACAAAAATATTATACTTTGTTACTTATTGAGAAAAATGATCCAATATTACATGTTTGTGAGAGGTAAAAGTATGTGAACCTTTGCTTTCAGTATCTGAATGCTCTGCTATCATTGCCTGATCTGATATAAATCGGAAGCAAAACCACTTATAAACAGCCATCAGTGTGCTAATGATCCATTGTTAGGCTGATGGTCCTTCTTGAGCATGTGAGCAGCTGGTTTTGGTTGTCAGCAGCAAACTGGTTGATCCACTCTGAGAAGGTGCTATTTAAGAGACTGAGCTGAAAACAGCACCTCAGACTGAGGGAAGTCTCTCGGATGAGAGACGAAACGTTTCTATATATTTTTTTGGTTGTTTTGCTTTGTTTTGTTTTTTTGAATGTCCAGAGGACCAGATTTAACTTTTTTAGACACATAAACTTGTGTAAATGTCTTAACACACATTTTGGTTCTTAAGAGAAATAATCAAATATTACAAGCAGCCCCACTGCCGTGAATAATCTCAGCTGTCAGAGGCCCAAAAAATATCTCCCCAGTTTATTTGACAACATACTGAAAATGTCTCTTTGATCATTTGCCTGTTTGTAAAGGTTCAACAGGCTGCTCCTCGTAAAGTGGACATCACGTCCCTCAAGGCTCAACTTCAGAGGATAAAGAAACAGTCCAATGTTGACCCTGCCTCCTCAGCTTTAGCTTCCACTTCCTCCTCCTCTCTGGCTTCTATAAACAATGCGACCCCAGCTGCTTTCAAAACCACCACACCCACAGATGCTAACCCCGTTAACGTCTCTGTGGCCCGGGCCAGAGAGCTAGCAGCCAGAGCCCTGAGGAGGAAGGAGACGAGAGAAGCCGATGAGATCAAGAAGACTGAGACGCACACTCAGGACAGGTGAGCGAGCTGAACTCTGGCTGTGCTTTAATATTTGTTTGCTGAGCTGATTTGGTTTCTTGGTTCTTGTCCAGGACTGAGCAGCCAGCATACCAGCGGTACCACACCCTTGCTCAGGCAGTCCCGCCTGGCCTGTCACTGCCTTATCAATACAAGGTTCTGGCTGAGATGTTCAGGAGTATGGAGACTGTGATTGCCATGTTGTACAACCGCTCTGAGACCGCCACCTTCAGCAAGATCAAGCAGGCCGTTCAGGATATGTTGCACAAGTATGTCACAAGATGGATGCACCTACACTCACAACTGAGGTCAACTTAGAGTTGCAAACTAACCCAACGTGCATGTTTTAGGACTGCGGCAGCTCTAACCGCTGCACAGCTGTGCTGCTTTCAGAATCTCTCATTTGTGGACTTGGTCAAAGCTGTAAAGCTGAATGAACTCCTGCAGCGTTAGCAAAACCCACGTAAACAGTACATCATACATTTCAACTTCCCATCTGTCCTACCGAGTGCTGTCAGTGAGTGACAGACGCACGTTTTAATACTACCGTTACTGTTTGAAGACTATGCTGGTGAAGATTCTCAGTCATCCAGGACATGATGAACAGAGGGGCCTCATCTGTGAATTAGAGTAACAAAGACCTTAAGAAACCCCTACTGTTAAGGTGTTGAGGTGTGAATTGCCAATCTACATATGTGTGTGTCTTATCTCACTCAGCCTTATAACCTGTATCTCTCACTCTCTGCTCTTTGAATTGAGAAAGCTCCTCGGATGCGAAACATCTTCTGTTACAAATAAAGTCCAGTTGTTTTTGTATTGAATGTTTTTAAGACTGTTGCTGTATTTGCATATTGCCCAGGACATCCTTGTAAAAGAGATTAATGATCTCAATGGATTTCTTCCTGGTAAAATAATGGTTTTTAAAAAAGTGTGTGGTTACCATGGTGACCATAATTTGCCACTGGCTGCAGCTTTAATGTTCCTTATGATCTTTAGTCTGTTCACGTTTCTTATAGATAAAAAAGTCAGCACTTTGTCAGCTTTTAGATTATCGCAAAAACACCAAATCCCTAATGACAGATGCTGGCATTTTGGGCATTAGTTGAATTTCACCTTTCAAGAGTTTCTTCATAAATGTTATTATTGCTATTCTTTGCTTTTTCACTGGTAAAAAACACATTTGGATGAAACTAATACCTGATTTTTTTTAAGAAGCTGATACATATTCTGTTTTTATTTGAATGTACTGAATGATTTAATCAAAACAGTCGTACATTCACTAAATCAAAAAGGACAAAAGTAAAACTAGGAGTCCTTTCTCTAGTCACAGATTTTTAGGAGATTTGAATAAACCTTGAACATGTTGTCTTTTAGGCGGTTTGAGGAGGGCCACATCTGTCAGATAAAGACGGTGTTTCCTGAAGCGTACTCGTTCAAACAGGAGAAGAACATCCCAACATTCAGCAGCAGCGTGTTGAAGGGCAGCTACCAGCTGACTGTGGAGCCCCTCTTTGGACCTGGTCAGAACCTGCTTTATTCAGACACTTTTCTCTAAAGTGGGATTTTTTTTAAATATCCGAGCCTTAAAGCCAGATCCAACTTGTGATGAGTTTTGTGTTCATTGCTGGTCTTTGTGTGCGTCATCAGATCAAAATGAAGCCCGACCTGTACTGTCCGCCTCTCGTCTCCTGGAAAGACGACGCATCTTCCACCAGAACCTGGTTTCTATCGTCAAACAGCATCATAAGGTAAGCAGCTGGTTCAGTACCATCTACTGCTTCCATCTGGCGTCTCGTGGTCCTTCCAGAACCCCTCTTGATCAAAGAGCTGCAGTTTACATGTGAAAGCCTCTGACTTGTTTTTGAACCTTCTCCCTCTCTTTCTGCAGGACTTCTTGTCCTCACTGGTTCCTCCAGTTTCTGTTCCAGAGGACAAACTGACCCGCTGGCACCCTCGCTTTAATGTGGACACCGTCCCAGCTGTCCTTCCCAGCTTGCTGCCTCAGGCTCCTGTTCCAGAGAAACTGACCACAGCTCAGGAGGTGCTGGACAAGGCCCGTTCACTCATCACCCCCAAGGTATGGACTCGTTTATTTAGCTGACTCATCAGCAACAACCAAACATTCATCGTTCATACTGAAGTTAAAGTTATTGGAACAAATGGGTCAGAAGACCCGTCTTATTTTCCAAAACTGTTCCCAGCTCTAAAACAGACAGTAAACCTTTGAGCAGAGCAGCTCCCAAATGACCAGTGAGTGGAGAGAAGGTATGAAAAGTCAGCGTCTTACCTGTTTCAGATGGCTTCTTTAATGACTTCAGTTTGGAGAAATGGAGTTCTGACAAGATGATGTCTATTCCAAACACAGCTCCGATCAAAATGGATTCCTGCTGTTTTAAAACAAATCTGATCTCAAAGATTTCAAACGCTAACACTTGTATATAAAATAATAAATATAAAAGCGTCCTTGTTGCTCGAGGTGGGAGATTTCAAGGCTGTCTAAATCATGTAAGACTTGAATGATGGCTGTTCTAATAATTCTCCAGCTGTCAGTCTTTAATTGTGCAGTAAACGTATGATAAGCCCATTCAGGTCGTATTAACAAGCCAATGGTGGTTTGTCTCAGTGGACACACTTCAGATGGAAATCACTGCTGTTTTAAACTCCAATCTACAAAGTTTTATAGCAGTTCGTGCAAATGCTATTCACACTTTCACATCATCAATTTTGTTTCACAGGCAAAAGTATGATGATTGATTTGACCTTTGCCCTGTGCTACAGCTTGATGCTTACCACAGAAACCCACGTAGCTAACCACGGATTGCAAAATGAAAGTAGTGTTTGCATTAACCGCTACAAAATCTTGGAGACTGAAGTTGTTTTGAGATGGCAGCACTTTGATTGTTGTTGTATTCAGATTAGCCATTAGCTCATCAGTGCAGTCAGAATTATAGTTTGTTTCCAGACTGAGGTTCAAAGAGCTATCTACAGCAGGTAAGAGAGTTATTGTTCATAACTTTTCCACAGAACATCACTTTAAAATGGTCAGAATACATTTTATTTCTGTGCTTAACAGGAATCAGTTCTCATTCGTCAGTAGCTAAATGAAACTTGTTTTTGTTCTGTGTTCAGATGGAGAAGGCCCTGATTTCTCTGACCTTAAACACAGAAGACAAGGACACACAGAGTTCTGAGTCAACATGCTCACAGAGCCAGACCTGCTGTCAAACATCTGCTCCTGTAGCTCAGCTCCCAGCTTCCCTGAAGGGGGTTTCCCAGTCCCTGCTGGACAGGGTAGGTTCACCAGCTTCAGTGTGTGTCGTCAGGTTATGTTGGTTCTTTAGGTTCTAATTTCTTATCTAACTTCTGACAGATACGAGCCAAAGAGGCCCAGAAGCTCCAGGCGGCCATGACTCGCAGCCCTGCTCAGGAGGAGCGGCTGCTGATGATGTCGAGGCTCGGGGAGATGGTGAGGATCCTTCGCAACGTGTTTGTTGCAGAGAAGAAAGTGGCGTTAATAATGGAGGTGGCCTGCAACAGGATGGTGGCGAGCTACAGATCAGCTCTCAGCACAGGTTGGTTCAGACACAGACAGGAGGGGTTTCTGTCACTAAACCTCCTTTGTAAGTTATTGTATTATTAGGATGCAAAAGTATACACACCCCTTGGTTTTCTTTGTTTTGTTGCACTGCAGCCTGGAAATTTACAAGGATTTATTTTATTCCAAGTTAATATGTTGCTGATGGAAGGGTCTGAAATATTCATCTTAGGTGCATGTCCACTGTGAGAGACATAATCTAAATTTAAAAAAATCTGGAAATCACAATGTATGATTTTTAAAAATAATTTGTGTGTTACTGCTGCAAATAAGTATTTGAACACCTGTGAAAATCAATGTTAATATTTGGTACAGTAGCCTTTGTTTGCAGTTACAGAGGTCAAAGGTTTCCTGTAGTTTTTCAGCAGGTGTGCACACACTGCAGCAGAGAGTTTGGATCATTCCTCCACACACATCTTCTCTAGATCAACCAGGTTTCTGGGCTGTCACGGAGAAACACAGAGTTTGAGCTCCCTCCAAAGACTTTCTATAGGGTTTAGGTCTGGAGACTGGCTAGGCCACTCCAGAACCTTGATATGCTTCTTACGGAGCCACTCCTTGGTTCTCCTGGCTGTGTGCTTTGGGTCATTGTCATGTTGGAAGACCCAGCCATGCCCCATCTTCAATGCTCTAACTGAAGGAAGGAGGGTGTTCCCCATAATCTCTCACTACATGGCCCCGGTCATCCTCTCCTTAATACAGTGCAGTCGTCCTGTCCCATGTGCAGAAAAACACCCCCAAAGCATGATGCATCCACCCCCATGCTTCACAGTAGGGATGGTGTTTTGGGGATGGTACTCATCATTCTTCGTCCTCCAAACACAGCGAGTGGAATTAAGACCAAAAATTTCTATTTTGGTCTCATCTGACCACATAACTTTCTCCCATGACTCCTCTGGATCATCCAAATGGTCATGGGCAAACTTAAGACGGTCCTGGATGTGTGCTGATTTAAGCAGGGGAAACCTTCTGTGCCATGCGTGATTTTAAACTATGATGTCTTAGTGTATTACCCACAGTAACCATGGAAACAGTGGTGCCAGCTCTCTTCTATATATATCTATATCTATAGATGTGTATAGATATATATCTGTATATCTATATCTATAGATGTATATATATATATATATATATATATATTTTTTTTTTTTCATTTAGCCTTTATTTATCCAGGTAGTCTCATTGAGCCACGATAACTCATTTTCAAGAGAGACCTGTTTAGGGAGCAGATGGGGGGTTAAGGGCCTTGCTCATGGGCCCAGAGTGGGGCGAATGAGGATGGGGGCAAGTGTGGGTGCTTCACCTAATCAGCTGCAACAGGAAGTTTATCCTGCAGCTCTGTGCTGCACAAAAGTGCAGCAGGTGCTAAATAATTTAAAATAATTTGTTTTAAATAACAATTCCATGCTGATCGTGCAGCTCATCCATCAATCAGCCAATTGTTTGTCTTGTCCACTCTTATTTTGAAAAACTGCGATAGGTCTAGTCCGCAATAAACAAACTTCGAAGTAGCGAGGGACTACTCTATATTTTATTTTGGAGTTGATAACATTTTTAGACTTTTTCTGTTAGTGGACTTAAACAAAACATTTTATTTTAATGGTAATTAGTAGAGGCGCACTGATAAATCGGCTGGCCGATTTATCGGCCCTGATTTCATTAATTTTGGGAAATCGGAAATCGGCTGATACTTGCATAAGAAATCGATTTTACTGATTTTTTTATTTATTTTTAGTTTTAACAACAAATGTCTGAACTTAATTTATATTTCAGAGCACTACCTCATGGCCAGTTAAAACAAGCTTATTGTTTCTAGGATATTGTTCAAAGTATGTTTTTCAATAAAATAAGATTGAAAATTGAAGGTGTGTTGTTACCTGACAGTGTTGCTTATAAAACAAAATCGGTATCGGCCAAAATCTGAATTGGCAGGTCAGACTTTTTAAAAATCGGTGATTGGCCAGAAAACTGCAATCGGTGCACCCCTAATAATTAGAATAAGCCTTTCGCTTTAAAGAGACTTCATGTTGTAACTGTGCTCTAGTTTTCCTGTATTTTCAGGTAAGTGCTGTTTGAAAAATGAACGGACTCTGCCCTTTGTCTCTGCTGAGCAGGTGAGATGGAGAAGCACCTCCGTCTGCTGGCAGAAGTAGTGGCAGACTGGCTCACCATTCATCCCATCAGGAAGGACTTCTACCTGAAGCTGAACAAAAATGTGGAGCTCAGCATCGTTCTGGAACAACTCAACAGCAGACTCAAAGAGGAGGAAGAGAAACTCTGAGAAACGTCAAGCCTCAACTTTTAGTGTGAACTTTTCTCTACAGCTCCGTGTTACGAGCTGCTGGTTGTTCAGCAGCATATTTTTGTTCATTTCATTTTTGTTAAACGACAGAATTTTGCCACGTTGGGAACAGATGCAGCTTGAGACTTTTTTTTCTTCTTTTTTTTTATAAAGCATTGATCATGTAGACGTTTGTTTCTGGCTTGATTCAGGTCTTCATGTTTGGTAAAAAGGATGTTTTAACAAGTTGTAAAGACAGTTTTTGAAGGGTTAACGTTTGTGTGCTGACTCTCATTTCATTAAGAGTATGTGACACTTAAATGATGACAAATGTTTAGATTATAAAGAAATGCGTGTTTCTCAGAGCCACAGTGCCTCCTTTAATTTCTTGTGAATTCAATTTATGTAAAAGTAAAAAAAACTTTCAGGAAAAAATAATTTTGTAGAAATTCTGAATGGTGCCATTGTCCGAATTTCCAGCCTACGCTACAATTTTGTTCTATAAAGGCTAAAAAGATTTGAGGAACTTTGTTTCAAATATTTTTATTGTAAGGCTTCCACTGAACATCGCAATCATTGACATTAAATTACTGCCTTTTACATTTTCCAAACAAACATGTGAAAACTATAGAAAGACAAAGAAAAAACAGACAACCATGCACAAAACAAAGACATTGAAGAAAAACATCCACATCCAACCCCCTACACTAGAAAGTACTACCTAGGCATAGTAAGATTACTGCTCGTATGGTAACTAAAAGTCCTTTTCTTCCATAAGAGATCACCGATTTCCAGATTGTTTCACAATCTTCCAGTTAGTCATTGAGGATGTACTGTGTCCTCCAGGTGAAGTGTATCAGTCAGTGATGAGATCCAGCCTTTAAAGGTTGGGGCCTCCTTTTTTTCCTAGAACATCAGATTTAGTTTTTTTTTTTTACATGGAGGAGTCCATTGGACAGAAGGTTCTGATCTGTCCTCCCCAATATCTCAAATTGTTCTGACCCACCCAGACTAACCAAAAGTGCATCCAGTCTGGTTCTAAAGGCTCTGGAGAAGAAGAAGAACAACCTCCAAAATTCCTGAAGACTGGGGCACAACGTGTAATAAATCTGCATCTGTTTGATTTATCACATAGTGCTGACACATCTGGGAACATTTTGTGTAACCTTGTCTGAATGGGGTAATCTGCATCATTTTGAACTGGATCAGAACATGTCTGGCATTAAGGGAGCACAAATTAATGTCTCAGACCTTTTTTTCCACAAATCCTCTGGTTTTTCCATCCCCAGTTCTTTTACACACTCAGTCTTAACTGTAGTAATGTTTACTTGTCTGTGTCCTTGTAAAATTTTGTAGATAAATGAATTTACATTATTTTTAGTTGTACATTCTCTGAGGCACTGGTCTAGTTTGTCCAGTGTTGTATTGTCAAAGTTGTGAAGGTGAGTTCTTATATACACAAAGTCCCCAACACATTGCAATCCCAGTTCTTTCCACTAGTCGAAAGCTCCATCCAGGGCTGAAGGAGTAAATGATGGATTTGAAAATAATGATAGAGCTCCTAAAATGTCCATGCTCAATAATCCAGGTTTACAATTACAATCCAACAATTTTCAGTCAGGTCATCTGGACAGTTTCTTTTTTTGGCTGAAACGTTTCACCTTCGATCCAGAAGGCTTCATCAGTCAAGGAAACGCAACACAAAACTGATTCTTCCTCCAAACGGCTTACTCCAAAGTGGAATAAACCAGTTATGTTTGGCTGATGAAGCCTTCCGGATGGAAGGTGAAACATTTCAGAAAAGAAAGAAAAGAAACTGTCCAGATGACCTGACTGAAAAATGTTGGATTGTATACCTGGATTATTGAGCATGGACTTTTTTGGTTTTGAACCAGTTTGACATGACGATGAGGAAGAGGGCCGGCCACAGAGGAGAGGGCATGCCAAAGACACCGTCTTAGTACCAACATAACTGGTTTGTTCCACTTTGGAATAAGCTGGGGGAAGAATCAGTTTTGTGTTGTGTGTTTCCTTGACTGATGAAGCCTTCTGGATTGAAGGTGAAATGTTTCGGGAAAAAAAAAAAAAAACTGTCCAGATGACCTGACTGAAAAATGTTGGATCGAGCTTCTAGTTTGAAATGTTTTGTTTCCAAATCTGGATGGCATCATGTATCACCGGGTTGTGACATGTTTTTCCCAGACGGATTGGAGACATAGCACCAGTCGAGTGAGGGAGGCAGTCCTCCCGTTCCACGTGCAGCCAGCTATCAAGGGCAACTGTCTCATCTGACTAGTAGGAAAAAGAACGAATGTTAGCCCCCAGTAATAATGTATAAAGTTTGGGAGGGCTAGACCCCCATCCGTGCACAGATGTCCCTTATTGATCCTATAGTTCCAGATAAAGGGATGAAGTATGGTGTCTAGCTTTTTAAATAAAGTTTATGGGCAAATTCTGAAAGAGATGCAACAACTGAGGGAGACTGACCATTTTAACTGCATTTACTCTTCAGGGAAATGGTGAGTGTCCTCCAGAATTCCAGCTTCCTCTTAAATGTATCCAGTATCTCCATAAAGTTAACTTCAACTAGGGAATTATGTTTCTTGGGAATAACTAAGCCTAGATATCTAAATTTGTTCCAAGCTAGTTTAGACATGCCTCTCGTCCACCTCAGCACCATGGGACACGGAGCCTTTTCTCACTCTGACCCCCCAGACATCCGTAATATTGACTCCCTTCAGACCTTCAAATCACAACTCAAAACTCATCTGTTCAAGTTAGCCCTCTCATTTTCATTTCTTGTTATTTTCTTCTTGGTTTAGTGTTTTTAAAGCCATTTTGTAGTTTTATTTTGCATTTTATTTTGTGTTTTGAATGTTGTGAAGTCGTGGTGACCGATCGATCTACGTTCCTACCCTCATCTATGGTTAGGATGCCTCCTGGACGCCTCTCTGGTGAGGTGTTCTGGACTCGTCCCACCGGGAGGAGACCCAGAGGAAGACCCAGAACACACTGGAGGGACTATATGTTTCTCGGCTGGCCTGGGAACGCCTCGGGATTCCCCCGGAGGAGCTGGACCAAGTGGCTGGGGAGAGGGAAGTCTGGGCCTCCCTACTTAGGCTGCTACCCCCGCGACCCGACCCCGGATAAGCGGAAGAAAATGGATGGATGGATAGATGTTGTGAAGTGTCCTTGGGTGTTTTGAAAGGCGGTAATAAATAAAAATGTATTATTATTATTAAATGATACTTAGCACAGATGGATCTAAGCATTGAACATCATCAGTTCACCTTTACCCCAGTTTATTTTATACCAAGAGAAAGTGCTAAATCACTAAACTGTCTCAAGCAGAGCTGGCATAGTGTACAGATGTATCTGCATAGAGCGATATTTTATTGTGAGTGTAAGATACACGTGTATTTTTTCATTGTCTCGTACTGTTACTGCCAGCAGTGGTTCCATCCAGAGCAAGCCCAAATAATGGGGCTGAGAGGGCATCCTAGTGCTCCTATGTAGAATGAACCTATCTGAAACAGATCTGAGGAACTTTAGTAGCAGGCTTATTTTAACCAGACACTTCAACTTGAATTCAATTTATTTATTTTGCTCCATTTCACAGCAAACCTCCCAAGGCACTGTGCAAAAACCATTTACGTTATAAAATGATGCCAATTAATAAAAGTTAACTATCTAAGGAAGCCAGCAGATGGTGCTGAATCTTTACTTTGACATGATCTCCCATCCTGAGCAGCACACTGGCAACGGTGGGAAGGAATGACTCGATTTTATAACGAGAAGAAGCCTCCAGCAGAACCAGGCTGAGGATGGGCGTCCATCGCCTCGACCGGCTGGGGTTAAAGAGAAAATACAAGGGACAGACACAACAATGGCTGACCCTGGTGTAGTTTCTATGGAATAAAGATATGATATAAATCATTACAAATATGAGCAGAGTGAGTAAAGACAGCAGCAGAGGGAGAGGTGGTCAGTTTGTCCTCCAGCAGTTTAAACCTGTAGCAGCAAAACAAAGGGATAGCTCAGGGAACCCAAGGCAACCCTAGCTATAGGATTTATCAAAAAGTCTTAAACTCAAAAGTAGTACAGTAGTATAAGCTCTGCCTCCCATTTCTAGAAACACTAGGAACAAGTAAGCCTGAAGTCTGAGAGCGAAGTGCTCTGTTAGGAAAATATGGAACAAGATCTGTAATATAAGATGGAGCCAGGTTGTTGAGAGCTTTGTAGGTTAGAAATAAGATTTTAAACTATTCTGAATTTGACAGGGAGCCCATGGAGAAGATAAAACTGGAGAGATGTCTCCTAACTCGGATCAGAACTGACAGCAGCATTTTCCATCAACTGAAACAGACTTGTAAACACTTTTGGACGACCAGATAATAAAGAATAGTCCAGTCTAAAAGTGATAAATGCATGAATCCACTTTTCTGCATCATTTTTGGACCAGTTTCTAATTTTATCAATGAAAATTGGTGAAGGCACCGGTGTTAACGAGGGCTGTATTCCACAAACATGATTTGTGATGTGAGGAGCCGAGGTGTACCCTTACATCGCCTCGAACATACTGTACGCCATGAAACAGGCATTGTATACTGACAAAACGACTAAACCTTAATGTAGAAACTGTAAAGAGCCCAGATTAAACATCAGTCCAACCTGCTTCCAGTGGCTCCAGAGCATTATTCCTCTGTGAGCCACGTTTTGGTGTATTTTTTCCAAAGGAGTGTAAACTGAGGATTTTGACAGAAAAAAACTAAATAAATGATGAAAGTAAAAAAATTAAATAAAAGAATACTTTGGTACTTATGCACATTTAGGAGTCCATTGCTTCAGTCAAAAAGATTTTTCATGTTTTAGAGCTTCTGCAAATGTTTATCCCTTTGCATAACAATCAAACTTTAATCATGTTCTATGTAAAAGTAAATTGATAAGGAAGGCTTTACTGTGAGTCAGAGAGAATTAGTGAAGCAGTTTCATATTTATAAAGTTAGACAAGACCTGAAATCATTAGAGCAACACAAGACATTTAATTTATAAAAGAACAGCTTTTACATCTCATTGTCTGATGTCAGTTTTATGCCGTTACACAGTTTGCTGTAATAAAAGTGAATATTCTGCCAGAATCAACAGACAGTTTTATTATCCAGGTAGAGACACGTCACCCGATAGACTGGATCAACGGGCACGCAACTCTCTGAAGAAACTCCTTTCAGGCTCTTTCTTTCTCCCATTTCTGGGTACCTGGATCTGGTAAAACAACGGCATAAGATGCACAAAAACATCCTTAGAACCAAAATAATAGCTTCAAACAATTGTTGAATGTCGCTTTGAAACTCAGGTAAAAATGTCTGTTCTGTACAACTGGCTTCTGCGTACAGCTTTAACATCTGGAACTCCTCCAACATGCAGAATTCATAAGAACTTAAAAAAATTGAAATAAACCCTTTTTAATTAACAAGTAAAGAGTTTTTCCTAAAGGACATGCTATACAGATGGAGTATGATTTGTTCCTTTCTAATCAAACTGCTGCCTACAGGCGTTTATCCTCATCCTTGAAGAGTCTTCATGAGAGTGAAGCAGAGCTTCAGCCCTGCTGTCAGAACATCAGCACAGCTCAAATCAGTCAGAAGCGCTTGGCGTAGAATTTTAAGAGATTTCTCGTACTTCCAGTACTGGTCCCAGTCTCTGTACTCAATGGGTTCTGTTGGAGCGTAGGGGTGTCGGTACTCGTCAGTACTGAACCAGAGAGAACACCTTGTGTGGTTTCAGTCTGTCGATGCCGTTCAGATCTTTGAGCTCGACCACCACCATGCAGCCCAGAACCTCCGCCTGCAGCTTCCTGATCAGCTCACTGGCTGCCAGCAGAGTCCCTGCAACACACAGTCAGAACTTGGGTCATTCATGGTGTTTAAACCCAATCTGGTCAAATACCAGAGATCATGTAGGAGTCCCTGATTATGGCTTCCAGTTAGGACCTTTGAAATAAATGGGACTGGGGTGATTTAGTACAGCTCAACATCCATTTTCTCTTCATGTTTATGTGTTTACAGTAGGAAGCAAAAGTATCCACCCCCACGTCAGTGTCATATTTTTTGTCTTCTAACCTGGTGTTTTAAATAGATTTTCAATTTGATTTTAACCAGTAAAATATACAAAAAATCTCCTCCACTTTTCTTAAACGGTCTCTTTAATTTGCTCCAGCTTTCCTTCCAGTCTGGCAAATTTCCCAGTTCCTGCTGATGAAAAGCATCCCCACAGCATGATGCTGCCTCCACCATGCTTCACTGTGGGGATGGTGCTCTCAGTGTTAGGCTCGTACCAGACCAAAGACTCTTTTTTTATAGGTGAACATCGGACCAGAACCCAGACGTTGAAGCCAGAACAGGACCAACTTTCCTGTCGGCTGGTTCCATGACTAGATTTAAGCCCCGCCCACTTCATTTCAACAATCAAGAACTAAAAACACATTTCAGATCAATAGTTACTGGTGTTGATGACGTGTTCATGTTCTTACCTTGCTGCTGTGTGTTCAAATATTTGTTTTTTCTAAAACCTTCAGCTATAATTAATTTCATGATTAAAATACAAGTTTTGTCACACCAGGGTTGTATGTGGGGCAGCAGGTAGGACTTAAAGCTCCACACTGCTGGTGCACAGATTCTGAATTTAAACATTTCAGAAATTGTTTTTCTCCTTAAATATAACTTCACTAAGTTGGAACACTTGTGTAGGTTCATTGCGGTTCAATGAAAAATCAACGCAGACGTGTTCCTGCTTTTAATATTTTATACCGTTTCATAATGTAGCTGTTTTTTATTTTGTTTAATATCACTTCTTTCATTTACTTTGCATTTTATATGCTCTTATATGAATGTTTATTGCCGTCTGATTCTATTCATAACTTATATGGACAGAATGTCTCGGTGCAGCCAGGGGGTGGAGGCATTCTGGTTCGGTGGCCTCAGGATTCCATCTCTGCTCTTTGCAGATGATGTGGTCCTGTTGGTATCATTGTGCCGTGATCTTCAGCTCTCACTGGAGCGGTTCACAGCCGAGTGTGAAGCAGCTGGGATGAGAATCAGCACCTCCAAATCTGAGACCATGGTCCTCAGTTGAAAAAGGGTGGATTGGTCTCTTCAGGTCGAGGGTGAGGTTCTGCCTCAAGTGGAGGAGTTCAAGTATCTCGGGGTTTTGTTCACGAGTGAGGGAAGAATGAAGCGAGAGACTGACAGATGGACTGGTGCAACATCTGCAGTATTGTGGACTCTGTACCGGTCTGTTGTGGTGAAGAAAGAGCTGAGCTGTAAGACAAAGCTCTCAGTTTACTGGTCAGTTTATGTTCCTACCCTCATCTATGGTCATGAACTCTGGGTGGTGACTGAAAGAATGAGATCATGAATACAGGAGGTTGAAATGAGTTTCCTCTGCAGGGTAGCTGGAATAGGGTGAGAAGTTCAGTTGTCAGGAGAGACTCAGAGTAGAACCGCTGCTCCTCCACATCGAGAGGAGCCAGTTGAAGTGGTTCAGGCATCTGGTAAAGATGCTCCCTGGGCACCTCCCTAAGGAGGTGCTTCGGGTGTGTTCGACTGGGAGGAGCGGGGAAGACCCAGGACATGCTGTCTTTCCAGCTCTGCCCCCGAGACCTGACTTGAGAACAAGTGGAAGACGATGGATGGATGGATGGATGGATGGATGGATAGATGGATGGATGGATGGATGGATAGATGTACGTTTTTCCTCCCCATTCTTTAAATATATGACAAGCAGTCAGAATGAGTATAGTGATGAATGTGATTGTTTAAAAGCAATCCTCACCTCCAGTAGCCAGAAGATCATCAATAATCAGAACCTTCTGCCCTGCAGCCACTGCATCCTCCTGAATCTCTACTTCTGCCTGACGATAAACAAACACAAGATTAGAAAAGGGGGAGAAACTGACATTTCTTATTGCTCTGATCAACCAGACAAACTACAGTAGTCCCTCGTTTATCACAGGGGATCTGTACACTGAAACCCTGCGATAAGTGAAAAACCATGTAATACAAATAGTAGTACAAGTAGTAATT